TGATGGACTGGAGACGTGTCCAGGTGTCCCTGTGATGGACTGGAGACGTGTCCAGGTGTCCCTGTGATGGACTGGAGACCTGTCCAGGTGTCCCTGTGATGGACTGGAGACGTGTCCAGGTGTCCCTGTGATGGACTGGAGACTTGTCCAGGTGTCCCTGTGATGGACTGGAGACCTGTCCAGGTGTCCCTGTGATGGACTGGAGACCTGTCCAGGTGTCCCCCGGCCCCGCCTCTCGCACAGTGATTGCTGGACATGGACACCGGCGACCCCCGTGACCCAAAATGGAAGAAGCGGGTAAAAGACGATGGATGGATGTTGTTTTCATGCTTTGTGTTTGTTTGTAGTGAAGATTGTTTTGCTGACGTAGAAGAAATTATTAAAAGATTTAAATGTTTTCTTCATTTTTGTGAATATCAGGAAGTGTTTGTGTTTTAAAGGTCCTGATCAGATGAAAGTCCACACAAAGACGGTGGAGCTAGAGGAGAGTACGGGATAAAAAAAAAAAAAAGAAGAAGAAGCACAAACGCAAAGTCAGTAAAACAGTGAGGTCATGGCGGGTTTGTGGCGTTTCCTCGCTTCCTTTTTTATTTCCTTCAAAACTGTTGCACAATGTTTATAGCTGTTTTAACTAGGAGCTCAAATCTGGACAATTCAGGACTTTTGTTTAATTGTCTACAGGGCTGTGGGGGCTGTGGGGGCTGTGGGGGCTGTGGGGGCCGGGACCCAACTCCGGGGGGTGGGGGTGTCACGCACCGACCAGGTCACCATTCCATCACAGGGACAATAGACATGAGACAACCGATAAATCCACCTCGGACAAACTGGACATGGGCACGTATGAGATCCAGACAGTTTGATAGTCTTGAATAAAACTCCACAACTTCCTGGTATTAAAACAAACAAACAAACAAACAAATAGCATTACATAGTGCTTTTAAAAAAAAATTAAAAATCACCTACTTTTACTGTTACAACTAAATATAACATTGTAGTACTTGTAATTTAATAATTTATGTATGTATATTATAGGGGGAGTGTATAATAAAGTTAATATTTTGTCTCATTTGTTTAACTGGGTTCTCTTTATCTACTTTTAGGACTTGTGTGAAAATCTGATGTTTTAGGTCACATTGATGCAGAAATATAGAAAACACTTCACAACTTTCAAACACCACTGCAGAAGGAAGCTGCTGTTAACACATAAAAGAGAAGAACAGCTTCGATCATAAAACAAGTTTGAACATTTTCTTGAAAGTCATATGGAGATAAAAACGTCTAAACTTGTGATCAAAATGCATACGTGCATAAAATGAGCCGTTTCACAGGCACTATCAGTGACATGCAGATTTCTTACTGCTGCCCTGATCATTTATTTAAAAAAGAGCTGCGATGACGAAAGGATATTTGCTAAAATCACCACACAATTCTTAAGATTTTTTCCACACTGATGTTTAAAGGCGAATCACAAAGGGACAAACTCCCGCCCTACAGGCCCAAAGGATGGCTCTGGGTCCTGACAGCTGAGGAGACGAGGACAGAGTCGTCAGCGTATTCAGTGATGTGGGGCCAACACGATGACTTCAACAGTGATTCATGTAAAAACAAACGAGGGAAAAGGACACACCCCTGAAGGGAACCGGGAGATGAAAAATAATATTTCAAAGTAAAAAAGTTAAATAGAAACTCGTAAACCTTTCTGCTGAAATACGGGGGCAGATGGAGTTAAAAGTAGAAGAGAAATAATTAATAAAAGGCCAAAGGACCTGTCTTCCTGCAGATGTTCAGAAAGCAGGTTTAAAAACACATCTAGTGACTCATCCACCTTCTGTCTGCCCTGCAAGCAAAGTGGAGAAGGTCCAACTTGTCCGGAACAGAGATCAAAAGTGCATCTTTAATAAGATTTCATAACACGAGAGTTACACAAGACCTAGGGGTCAGAAATGGGTTTTAAAGAAGCAGCTGTTGACTCCTACAGATGTGCAGCAACAAAGGCCGCTGGAAGATGAAACTAAACATGTCTGCCAGTTACAAGGCACCATTCTTCAGAACACGACCTCCAGTACCGTCAGGTCCAGGGCCTTTTGTTTCTTGGCACCACAGAAATTATTAAGAACTGTTAAATTAAATGGGGCGGCTGTGGCTGAGAGGTTAGGTCAGTTGTCCTCCA